CAACGCTGGGCCGAGATGGGCGCCCAGACCTGGCCCGATGTTATCATTCCAGGTTTCAACCAAGTCCGGCGCGGTCCCGGTTGAGGAACGGGTCCCGAAGTTCGGCAGGCCGGCCACCGGGCTTGGGCCAAGCTCGGCCCATTCGTTTTTTCGTACGTGGGCAACGGCTGGAGCCCATAATGACCAGGCTCCGGGCCACCGCTGGCTGGGGCTTGGTTATCGAGCTCCGGCATGCCAATGTTCGACCAAAGCTGGGCCAGATCTGTCAACCAAGGCTCGGTTACCCGCCCTTCCCCCGAGACTCAAGCCCTGGTCCCCAGGGGTGGCCAAACCTCGGTCCAAGCTTGGGCGCCCAGACTTGGCAAGCCCAGGCTTGTGCCAGACTTGGCTCGTTTTTCCAACACTGGCATTTCCTACGTGGGATAGGAAAGATTTTTCACCGTGGATATAAAGTAATTTTTTTTAACGTGCATATACGGTGAGTGCGAATAGCGTGCAGTGGGTCCATTTTTTACCGTGGATGCAAGGAAGATTAAGGGAGGATGAATCAAAACAGACATACGAAAGGGACAATCGAAATAATTACAAGGGAGGGTCAATCGAAATGGTCATAAGGGCGGGTCACAAGGGTCATGAAAAACAAGTTTCTAGGGTCAAAAGGGTCACACAAAAAAAGTAGTCGCTAGCGTCACGAGGGTCACAAGGGTGACACGCCTTGGTTAAATGCGTATTTGACTGAAAATTTTTTGTTGGAGATTTTTTTGATTGATCTTTTTTCTGATAAAATTTCAACAACAATATCTAAAATTCAGTCAAAAACGCATCCAGTCAAGATATAGGTAGATAGATAAAGTTAAGGTAGTCATTTGCAACCCGGATAGTGTGATAGGCCAGCAAATTTCCAGTAGTTCTCCTAATATTAAAAAGTACCTTCCGGAAGTTCAAATTCGTTTTTCTTTAATACCTCGAGAAGTTCTGAGGCAAAATGGGTCGTCATATTCAGTTTTTCAGCTAAAGTTTTTATAATTCTCCAATGGGGTCACTATATCGATCCCAATTTTCCAATATTTCAATTACCATGATTTTTTATTTATCAAATTTTTGCTCAAATTTCGAAAAAAAATTATCCAAGAGGTCGCAATCATCCGAAAAAAATCGTAATAAAGAAATCAAGGCGCGTGGGAGTGATTCCAAGAGGCAGTCCGTAAGGGCGGAGCAAAGGATAAGTTCCCTCCACCAATAAAAATGCTCTCCCTTGTCGGTGGTCGCGTGGATCTCCTTTTGAGTTCCTTTCAACTTCTTCCGACGGCTCAAAGGAGGTGGAGTCACTTTTTAAAGGCAGTGGTGTTGTCGGCACCACTTTGGCCTGGCTCTCTCCCCCTCCGGCATCGCCAACAAGAGATCCAACTTAATGATTTTACTCAACAGTTGGAGTCGAGACACCGACGGTCCAACAGGTCCGCTGTCACTCAAGCCCTCAGGCGCGCACCCCGTATTCATTAAAAAAAAACATTTCGGAAAATTGGCTATCTTCGCAGTTCTTCGAGTTTGTGACAACCAGTGAATTAATTATAAACTGTTTTGTGATTGGAAACTTTCGTTTTTTGGCTTTTAATACTGAGTAAAGAGAGTAGAGACAGTGATAAATTGAGAGAGAGTCTCATTCATGGCTGTCAGCACTTTCAACATGGCACCTTACTTCGCTGGATATCCGTTCCAAGGTAAATTCATCAGAATTCATATTATTAATGGAAAAATTTAGTAATCAAAGTTATTCAATTAATTAACAGTTATTTCGTTACTCGACAAACTTCTCATCTCATTGATCACTATCTTATGTCCAATTCTGTGTCGAGGCTTCATGAATTCAAAAGTTAATTAACTTGTGATAATGATTAATGATCAGAGATTCTCATCAGTAGATCTTAATTTGTTAATCTGACATTAATTCTCGGGGATTGTGAGGTAGGCACTTGCAAGAGCCCATTTTGCCCCATCCGTTATCGAGACGTCAATAAAAAAACTATTGAGAATTGTTATTTAGTATTTTCTGATTTCCCAAGAAAAAAAATATTAATTTTGATAGATGAGTTTTCGAGATAATTGAGCTTTTCTCATGAATCTCCTCTTCCTCGTAATGTTTTTTACACCGAAATTTTATGCATCACGACCACCCATATTATACCCGCATACCGCGGAAGCGTATCATGCATATTAACTCCCTGAAAATAATTTTCGAGCATGAATTATGTATCATACCCGATTGATTTGACCAGTCTCTCCAGAATATTTTATTTTCAAATTTCCCGCGTCGCTCCAGGTGATTCCCCTAATTGTAAACCCCCATCTAAACGCCAATGCATCATTCTACTACTCCCTCAACCCCAGAATCAATTGCACAAAACGATAATACACGTTTTGAATATCTCCGAACATTTGGGTGGGAGGTTTATGGTGCAGAATCGCGCGCCATCCGGTCAAGATAATCCAAGCTGACGTCGGCCCACAGTGGAGGGCTTCAATCATCGCTGCCGTCGCCCGAGGTCTATCCGATATCAGACATTAGACGGGGCCTCTCTTATATCTCCACGTTTATTCCTACACCGTAACCTTATGTTTCAACGCCCCATGCATACCTACCGCCGGTATCGTAAAACATAATTCTATCCATCATGAAGATATTCTACTTCCATAACATCCGTTCCATTTCCTAGACACTTACTTGACATGGAAAGATGTCATAAGTTCTTCCTTTCGCCAATTTTCATGAATTTTTGCAAATTCAAAGACAATTTTTTCATACTTTGGGGAAATCGAAAGAAACGGAAACAAAGTCGATCTCAAAAAAACTCAAAGTAATGCTGAAAAGTTTGTGAATCTCTCAATTGACATCAACTTAGGTAATGTTGCCTTAAACTATATGAAATGTCCTGCAAAATCTACTACAATTGAATTCATTCTGCCCCATTACTCCCCAACTGTTAGAACCAACCAACCGTTCAATAGGAAATCGTGAATTTTAGATGCCGCCTGTCAGGTAGAAAAAGCGTTTTTCTTTAATTAGAGGGGTCAAATAGTTTAACCGTGAAGCGTGAGAACGCAAGGGAACTAATATTGAGGCATCAGAAGAAATGGTCGAAGAGTGAAAAAAAAACAATGAGGGATAATAAAAGAGTTTTTCTATCACTTGAGAGGTAGGAGAGCTACTTTTCTAAACGGACGGGCAAAATATTTATATCAGAGCATCAAAGCGCAGAACTCTAACCAATAACGAAACATCAGAAGAAATATTGAAAGAAAATTCAAGAAAATTCCAATAGAAAAATTATAACAGTCATTTTTTACCTTTTGTAGAAGCAAAAATGCCTCTTTTCCTTACGGAAGGGGAAGTGATTCCACTCAAAGCATCAGATTGCAAAAAACCTATAGCGCATCCCAAAATATCATAAAAAATGTTGAATCAACGTTTAAAAGAATTCAATATAAAATTACGGATCATTTTGGTACCGCTTACCAGCCATAAAAAGCTTTTTTTCTCAGTTGTAAAGGTTAAATAACCCAACTAGAGCAACAGATTGCAAGAGACCTAATCCATCACAAACCATAAAAAGGAATATTTAAACAAAGCTCGAAAATAATCATAGACACTTCAAATCCTTTGTTATTCAATACTTGTCATACCTCATGCTTTATGAGGCTCGGCGGTAATTGAATGCGATAAAGAGTCATTGTTTTCCCAATAGCCCATGCGTCCCCTGCGTTTTATCAAAAGAAGTTGACCGTCATCGTCAACATCCGACACGAGTCACCGCTCATTTTTTCTTTCTCTCATTCCTTCTCCAATAATATTTCTTCCCTCTTGGCTTTTGAATTTTTCTCTCCCTCCGATTTTTTTCAACTTTCTCTCTTTCTCTCGCACCAGTGAGGTCCCCCTGATTCATTTGAAAAAAGGAGCGAGAACTGGCAGGAGAAGTGGCTCGAGATGTATGCGTGGAGGTCTTGTACATGTTAACCCACGACGGATACTAGGTGTGACGTCAGTCAGGCCCGAGGGCCCGACGGGATTACAGGCGAGATCAAAAGAACGCCGACACACTACTCCGACGCGCTATGGGCCCTCTCCCTCTCTCTTGCGGGCTGTGCTCAACGCGCAGGCGCGAACGCGAACGACTTTAAACGCCTAATGGCGAGATAGGGGAAGGGGGGATTATTTTTTTCGATGTTAGATTCGTGTAATGATTGGTTTTAGCAAAACAAACCGATCATTCTGGGAATTAATTGGTATTTATTTTGGACCCTGAATAGCGTGATGATTCGAAATTGAGAAATCAATGCTAGGGAGCCCACCAGATAGTTCAGAAAATTTTTGATTTCAAACTCTGAATATGAACCCATTTTGCCCCCATATTTCTCGAGATATTCAACTTTTTTTCCCACAAACTTCAGAAAAATTTCAAATTTCACCAGTTTTTCGTGGCGAGGGTTAACTTGCCAACGCGGCCATCGCCCGAGGGCCTTCAGCCAGGGAATGTTGAATGTGGAGTGGGTTTTTTCACTTGGAAAATCTGTGGAATATTCGGTTTGAAAATTGTGTTAAATTTTCAGATGAATATTATGTGGAAATTTGTGATGAAAAATTGGTGCGGAATTTTGGCCCGGTGGGGGCTCGAACCTGGGAGTTTGAGGTTGTGAACCTCATGCTGCTACCAAGTGCGCCACACAGCCGGGTTATCACAAACTTCATTTTTGCGAAAAATGAAAAATATTTTTCAACATTTGAAATTTTAATGTGCATTTTTTTGAATGGATAATTAATGAAAAACATTTTTTGTAGTGTAAAAGAGCCCTGAAAAAGTAAATTGAATATTACGTGTACATAATACCACAACCCGGAGGCTTAGTAAAAAAAAGAAGTCCGTTGGTTTACAACTCGTGGCAAAACCACGAAGGCCGTATAACTCGAAAAAGGATCCTATGTCCATCCCTCAAAGCCGCACATGAATAAACCCGGTATCTCTTTCCGCACACGCGATCCCCATAGCGTTCCGTATGTCTCTGCATTCATTTTGTCTTTAACCCAGACAACCCATCAAACCGCGTAATATGTCCCACGTAGGTTGGTAATTATAATTAAGTTAATTAAAGGTAACCTCATTATTGGTAATTAGGAGGCACAACTTGCGTGTTGTGTATCTGACCTAAAAAGGCAAAATGGGGTGCATTTAAAGGACAGAAAAATTTCCCAGCAAAAATAGTGATTTTTATATTATTAACTTTCCGATCTATCGGGTAGTTATAGTAATGACCCCGAAAATTGAATGGGCAATTTCCATGATTTTTCCACTTTTCTTGACGTTTAGAATTATTTTTAACAAATTTTGAAGACATGTTTGTTTGTGTGTGTGTGTGTGTATATATATGAATATATGTAAACAAAATTTTGCCCGACGATTACTCTTCAACGAATGATGCGATTTAAAATTGTTCTTTGCAATCGATGCATCTTTGTGTAACTTCGAACTGATTGGTTTGTGAAAACGATCGTCTCAGCGCTTCTCTAGTTATAGTCCGTAAGCTAGGGGGGTTTTTGCACACATTTTAGGTCGCGATGATTTTTTCATTGGATTCTATGTTTTTCGACCTGCTGAATTCGAATATGAAAGTCCGCGGCTCAAATTCCTGTGTGTTTTTTTGTTATTAACAATTTTTTAATAAGTAATTGAAAAATCGAATTTTCGGGTCGGGAAAAATTTTTTCTGTAAAATATACGCCATTTTAAGGGGGGGGGATGTCCTGAGCCATTTTTTTCGTATTCGCAACGGTTCCATCAATAAAAAATCATAAACAAATGATTTTTCTAGGTATTTTCGAAAATATTGATTTTTTTTTTCGTATTTCACGTTGTTGCATGAGTTATTTATATGATATATCATGAGTCATGGAGGAAAGGACTCAATTTACAGTAAATTAGTCATTTTTCAATAATTTGTTTAAATAAAAAAAAATGAATTTTCGACGGAGAAAAAAAATTTTCTGTATGTTAGAAGCAATTTGAAAAAGGTAAGTCCTTATAATACTTTCTCTAAAGTCAACCATTTGTTTTTTTTTTTTTTTTTACGGCCTCGGAGTCCCTTTTTCGGGTCCCATTCGGCACTCTATCCAACCCTATGCATGCGGCTGTGGATTCTACACTGTACCGCATTCGCACTTCTATAGAACATAGAAGTAGCATGGGGAAACCACAGAAAACCCATGCCGGTACAGGCGGTTCCTCTATTAGCAACCTCCCGCTCGCCGGAGCCTTCCGTTGAAAAATTCGGTTCCACGGGGAATCGAACTCACAACCTTTCGCACACTAGACTTGCGTCTAATCCACTCGCCACCGACGTCGGTAGTCAACCATTTGTTCATAAAAAAATTATGAAGAAATTAATTCCTCACAAATTCACCCGAAATTTATAGAAGGAGAAATCCTGCAGAACTTGCGCATTTCATTCATATAAATTTGAACAAATCAATACTTTCAGGGCAGATTAACATTTTTATGGCTGTATTTGTTTCAATAACGAAGGAAAATCTTCAATCGCAATAGTTTCAATCCTGTAACGAAGAGGTAAAACGGTTTCAGTGGAATTCTCGCTCAGTTTCCGAAGAGTATTTTCGAATCTAAGGCAGCTGACGTGATTTTTGTGAAAATCTTTTTTGAAGGTCTCACTTTGCTCTATAAAAAAGCTCTTTAGAGAAATTTTGCCATCTTTTTTAGATCCCGAGATATTTCTCGGAAACGGACCTCCGAACGAAATCTGCTGGAACGGCTTTTCCTCTGCGATAATGAATTATTTGAACAAAATGTAATCAGTTTTTATCGCCATTCGGTTCAAAAATGCTCTAATAACAGATGTGCCTGTGTAAAGGTCGGAATTGTGTGTATCAGTTTCTGTTCTTGTAAAACCAAAGGAACGTGTCATAATAAATATACGATGAAATAACTGCAATGTGGAAAACTTTTATTGTCCCGGATCCTGAGAGTTTCATAATTTTTTTATGAACAAATGGTTGACTTTAGAGAAAATATTATGAGGACTTACTTTTTTCAAATTGCTTCTAACATGCAAAACATTTTTTTTCTCCGTCAAAAATTGATTTTTTTTAAATTTAAACAAATTATTGAAAAATGACTAATTTACAATAAATTGAGTCCTTTCCTCCATGATTCATGATGTATCATATAAATAACTCATGCAACAACGTCAAATACGAAAAAAAAAGTAATAATCAATATTTTCGAAAATACCTAGAAAAATCATTTGTTTATGATTTTTATTGATGGAACCGTTGTGAATACGAAAAAATGGCTCAGAATATACCCCCCTTAAAATGGCGTATATTTAACAGAAAAATTTTTTCCCGACCTGAAAATTTGATTTTTCAATTATTTATTAAAAAATTGTTAATAAAAAAAAAACTCACAGGAATTGAAGCCGCGGACCTTCATATTCGGATTCAGCAGGTCGAAAAACATAGAATCCAATGAAAAAATCATCGCGACCTAAAATGTGTGCAAAAATCCTCCTAGCTTACGGACTATTATTCGCAAAAAACATGTAGAAAAACGCCGAACATTACATTTTTTTGTCTAATTCGATCATTTTTCCAGTAGAAATGATACGATTTGGATTGTTTTTCATTCAATCCATGGATATTCGTATGCAGTACATCAGAACGGATTTTGAGCAAAATCGATTCAGGCGTTTTCCAGTTTTTTCTAAAAATAAAACTTCTAGAACTCGGATTTTTAAATTTAAAAATGTGTCGTATTTGTGCAGAAACTGGATTGCGATATAACTGAAAGCTGACTGAATTCAGATGAAAATTGTCTCAACAGTTATTAATTTACCCGGATAAAACTTTCAAGATTTGGGTCTTTTCCTAATGAATGAAGGAAAGACAATTGGTCGGCAAGTTATTGGTTTGATCCGTAATGGGTTTCACCCAATTCGACTAACCTCTACCGGTTACACCCTAATTCGGGAGCGAGCAAAGCGAGCGACCGGCACTGATTTTTTATATTTTTTATTATTTTATATTGTATTATTTACATTCCATGTTATATAATATTATTTTATATCATTTTTTATATAGATTAATAAATATTTAATATTTATTTTTAGCTGAATTGTTCCGATAAAATTATAAAGGATTTTTAAAAATGGTGTTCATTTTCTTCTAGGTCAAGGAAGGGTGAATCAGCTGGGTGGAGTTTTCATAAATGGCCGACCTCTGCCCAATCACGTGCGATCGGAAATTGTGCGGTTGGCATCAGCCGGAGTTCGTCCCTGTATGATCTCAAGACAATTGAAGGTCTCTCACGGTTGTGTCTCCAAAATTTTGAACAGATTCCACGAGACTGGATCGATCAGGCCGGGAGTCATTGGGGGGAGTAAACCCAGGGTCGCCACACCGGAAGTCGAGGCGAGAATCGAGAAGTTGAAGAGGGAGAATCCGAGTCTCGTGGATTGGGAGATACGAACGCAGTTGATAAAGGTCTGTTGATGAAACATTTGTTTTGACTTGAATTGTCAAATCGTCGTGTGCAAATCGAGAAATTCAAAGGTCTACTCATAAATGAAACAATTTTGGTGATCCTAATGATTGAAACTTCCCCTCAATCATGAGGTACAGAGACTCACTCCACCTGCCCCTCCAAATCGAGGTTAAAGATGTCTATATGAAACATTTACATTGAAAATACACCAACATGTGAAGTGGAGGGGAGTTTCTCTAATCCCTGTCAATCGCTCCCGACCATTCTTTGGAATTCTTCGACAGATGAGTTGAGGAGACACGTCCTAAACATTACTAAAGTCTCTTTAATTCATGTAAAGATAAAAAAATATAACCAGTTATTTTGAGGAAAATTTCCAGCTCACAATCATGGATAAATTAATTTCTGTTACATGTAATGATTCGAATTTCCCCTCAACCATGAATTATAGAGACTCCCCTCCCTCTTGCTCCTCTCTATCGACCCCTTAAAATGCCTCTCAAACCTTGGCACAAATGTATTAACTTGCCATTCCGTTTGTGCATCTGTCAGCAGGAGGGCCTCTGTGACAAAACGACAGTCCCCTCAGCCTCCAGTATCAACAGACTCCTCAGAGGGCCCGGAAATTCCTCAAGACCTGGAGACGACGTACGAGCCAACCACTCCATCAACGGAATTCTAGGTAAGTCCCATAATTATCAATCGTGAAAAAAATCCTGACTTTCGAATTTTGCATGAAAAATAATGTCTCAATTCCCTACAAATAAAAATAAAATAAATCAACTCACTTAAAATAAGAACTGACAAATAAGTACGGATCCTCTTTAAATTTTGTGATGAGATGTTCCGAGGCGTAAGAAACGCATAGAATTAAACTTACCGTCGGCATATTTCCAAAGGCACACTGAGAATGGTTTTATTTATTGGAACACGCAAAGAGGTTGCAACAACTCTTTTTCTCACTTCAACGATGAGGATAAAATATATTGGGTACCCCGCTGTGCTCTTTATTATCATTGCATTTTATTCTTATTGTTGAGAGAGGATATTCACACAATTGGATGTATAACATTTTTAACAAACTTAGATCAATGAAAAAGAGTTTTTCAATTTCTCTTCAATGTGCGGTTATGATTTTGAGGTTTAGAAATTAAAAAATATTACTTTTTCACTGTTTATAAAGTAAAAAATGAACATTTTGGATAAATAGCTCGTATATTAATCCAGTCAATACAATTCAGAATTGAAATTTGGAAATAGACCCTGCTTCTACTATTAAATTGTTGGCCTTTCCCCGTGATTAACGGGACCATATAGGGGCTCAAATTGTGAAGTATTTCTGGTACCAGATGACAAGGTTTTAAAATATCATCAAATTCATATACTATTCAAATTCAACATTTAAATTTGATATGATCAAAATCGATGTAGGAAAGCGTCATTGTGAATGTTCTGGATAACTTGGACTCAATTTCAACCTGTATGAGGCATATATAAGTTTAAATTTATATGCTCATATAGCTGCACGGTCTCATTACACACCTCCACCTCCCTCCATAAGGCAATAATTTTTTATAATTGAAAATATAGAGGTATACATATGAAATTATGTCATTAATAGCAAAATAAGGTCCGATAACCCTACCAGCTCTTGGGGTTACCTAGGGTTCACGACGGCGACGTGGCTGGAGTTGAATCCCCAAAAAATTGAAATTTGCTAAATTTCCCATGACGTCCATGATCTTGATAGAATCATTGAATTATTGCCCCTCCACGTGTGGTTCATCCTAGAAGAAATATATTGATAAAAATAACTGCTTTAAGGGGGGACCCCAGTGAAATTTGAAAGTCTTCGGTGGATCTGGGGACTTATTGAGCAACTTTAGTTATATGATGGGATATGTTAAAAAGTGGAAAAAATCCCAGACCCAATCGGTTTTGCCCCGTACTTAAACGGAAAACGTCGTTTTTCGTGTTTCTACCTTTAAAACGTTCCTCCCCGAGTGGAAATTGCTTCAGGCCCACCTGAAGCACGATCAGAACTTGATCAGGTTTTTGTAAGGTTCGACTGATCCGGTGATTATTGATGAGAACCTGACCAAGTTCTGATCCAGCAGATCGGATCTGAAAAACTACAGGCGGGTTCAGATCAAGTTCTGATCAGGTAAACATGATCAGATGATGCCTGATGAGAACCTGACCAAGTTCTGATCCAGCATATCGGATCCGAAAAATTGCAGGCGAGTTCAGATCAAGTTCTGATCAGGTAGACAAGATCAGATGATGCCTGATGTGAATCTGATCAAGTTTTGATCCAGTAGATCGGATCCGAAAAACTGCAGGATGATTCAGATCAAGTTCTGATCAGGTAGGCACGATCTCACCCTGAGGTCGGCTGCTTGACCCCAATTTGATCAAATTCCGATTTGATGTCTTTGATCGGTATTTGAACGGAGTCAATTGAAAAGAAAATGATCAGATTCAGATCCGGTCCACCTAACATTAATTTTAATAAGTTTTTCATATAATTTAATTAACTATTATTATACTATTCAAATTAAGTTTTATCAACCATTAGCAATAATTATTTTCAATCTTTAAAAAGGATCATTATACTATAAGTAAAATAAATTAAATTAATTTAATTTAATGAATTTAATTGAATTAATCAATTTAATTAACAGCCAGCCCTTCCCAAATGTACAGAAGGGAGGGATGATGATGCCGTAAATACGTATTAGAGGAGTATCAAACTTACACCCAAATGATCTTGAAAAAAAAATTACTAAATGTCTATTTATTTATTAGTGTTATTGTTATTATCATTATTATTATTTATTATTGAAATAAATAAATATTCAATTGAGCATATTTTATCTCTGAGAATACACACGCACATCCGCGAGATCAGGAATAATCGTAAATTCAACGAATACCCCGATACAAATCATATAGGCAATGTACAGTTTATTCAATAGTAATAGCGCGATAGCGTAGTGGTTAGGGCATAGGATTAGCAATCTTAGGATCCCCGGTTCGATCCCTAGCATCGGTAGAAAAATAATAAGCTTTTTCAGAGGTAATAGCAGTATAGAGATTCATTAAGAGAGGCTGCCTACGGTGAAAGAATTGAATTATCTTTTGTTTTGGATTAATTATCATTGATAATTTTTATTGATACTGACAGACAGGTCATCCGGTCTTCATACAGTTGACTTAATTTTGTAAAAAAAAACAGTGCCAAGAAAAAGTTTGGGTTGGTTCTTACTGAGAAGTAGAAATTTTTTAAAAATACAAAGAAATGAAAAAGAAAGCCACGTCAGCAATGTCGAACGAACGAACNTTCATTAAGAGAGGCTGCCTACGGTGAAAGAATTGAATTATCTTTTGTTTTGGATTAATTATCATTGATAATTTTTATTGATACTGACAGACAGGTCATCCGGTCTTCATACAGTTGACTTAATTTTGTAAAAAAAAACAGTGCCAAGAAAAAGTTTGGGTTGGTTCTTACTGAGAAGTAGAAATTTTTTAAAAATACAAAGAAATGAAAAAGAAAGCCACGTCAACAATGTCGAACGAACGAACATAGTGCATAATCAGATTTCTATGAGAAAAATAGTTTCAAATCGAATAAGGATTAAGAAAAAATTCTTCATGAAATAAAAAACTACTAGAAGGCGAACCAGCGTCCTTGGCGCGGATCAAAAGATGGCGGATTAGATTGATACTAAACAGTGAGTTGAAAAATTCGGCGTCAAGAACGTTGGTTCTCCTTCTAGTAATTTTTTATTTCATAAAGAATTTTTTCTTAATCCTTATTCGATTTGAAACTATTTTTCTCATAGAAATCTGATTGTGCACTATGTTCGTTCGTTCGACATTGTTGACTTGGCTTTCTTTTTCATTTCTTTGTATTTTTCAAAAATTTCTACTTCTCAGTAAGAACTAACCCAAACTTTTTCTTCGCGTTTTTTTTTTACCAAAACATTTGTTTTTGTTCTTTTAGGGAGATTTCATTATTTTTTTCAAAATAAGCAAGGAATCTATTTTATATCCTATACATTTTTCTATTTCCAATTCAATTCAACTCATTTATTTTTCATAAACGATAAAAAAAAATTATTTTTCATACTATAGATCATCTTACCAATTAACAATCGATGCAAAACAAATAATTGTACCTCACAGTCATCATTTCCACCGACTTTTAATTACTTATTCCAGATTTTCCGACTTAATTTGCTTCTTTCAGAATTTATTTATGCACGGAACTAAGTTGAAAAATATCTGTGGAATTTATCGTTCATGCGCCAAATTCAATTTGTAAATTCCCGGGCTCCCTCCTTGGTCTGTGCGGCTGTATTGCAGTGCTACCAACTTCGAAACAAAAAAATGATGGGAGATAATGTGAAATACGAGAATGTGCATGTGAACCTGTTGCTAGGCGCATCTTTTTTAAAATATTGATTGGAATAAAAAAATAGTTACATCAATGAGAAGCTTGTGGTCGATTTATATAATATAACTAAGATTATTTTTCATGTAGCTTGTCACATTTGTATTTTATTTAATGGATATGTGTCGGAGATAGTGGAGGGGGTAGTTGCTTCATGTATAGATACACGGCAGTGTATCGGCCAGTTTTGTACAGTCAGAGTCAAAACTTTTTCTTGGCCGATACGCTGCCGCGTATTTCGATTAAGTTCGGATCCATTCGTCCTGATCAAATCCGGATTGGTCAGAGGCGTAACATGTCTGATCAAGACCGGTTCCGTCAACTTTATCAATACCTGATCAGTGGTCAGATCTAACCTGATCCAAACTTGATCAAGACCTGACCGGAATTTCTACTCGGGTCGTTTCCCAATTTTGATCTGATTTGTTTTTTTTTTCAAAATGTTCATGAGACAATGAAATGCCATGAAAGTTCATGAACAAAACAAAAAAAAAGAAAAAAAAGGGGGTTTTCCTTCTGATCGGCAACTATTCAAAATGAAGACGTTTCAGGCATAATGCAAAGACAGAAGGGAAAACGCTTTTTTCGGTTTTTTCATTTTTTTTTCGGTTTTCTTCGATTTTCTCATGATCTATAAAATGGATCGTTAAACGGAAGCTTAACTTTGTTCTTTGGAGTCTCACGAATATTTTCAAAAAAAAAATCGGATTAAAATTGGGGAACGAGGAACGTTTCAAAGGGAGAAACATATGAAAAACGACATTTTCCGTCGAAGTACAGGGCAAAACCGATTACCCGATCGACCAGACCGATTTTGGGTTCAGGATTTTCCCACTTTTTAACATATTCCACCATATAAATAAAGTCGCTCAATAAGTCCCTAGATCCACAGAAGACTTTTAAATTTCACCCGGATCCCCCCTTAATGTTTTTTATATGGTGGACTTTGAGGTTATGAAATCGGTGAGATAGGCGTTTTTTACTGTTTGTATAAACAGAAAAAAATGTTTCTCGAGGTAGAATGGGAGAAAATAGTTCAACTAGAGCATCGGAGTACAAGGGAACTGATGTACCGCCGCGTGTGGTCCCTCGGCCGTTACCTTGGGGCCCTCTCAATACTAATCTTTGAGAGGGGTGCCGCCTCGAACGCTGCGAGAGCCACAACTTTTTCACCTTTCTCTCGGCAAAAATAAAATCATTCCAGTAATTTTCCCATCGAACCTCATACTCTCACGATTTTTTTTTCACTTCAATCCGTTAACCACTGGACGGTTTTATTATTTCCGAAAAATGTGGTCTTTGTCTAGGGTATGTGAAAGTATGCGCTTTGAATGGCCAGGGAAATTTCCCGCAAAAGTCAATACGATGATCCGTTTTACCGCTCTAGTTTTTTAATTACAGAGATGAGAACTTGTGTAAGCGAAAATCAACTTTTGTAATAATGAAAGAAGAAATGGGGCAAAATAGGTTGTCATATCGACTTTTCCACAGGAAATTTTCCGATCTGTCGACTGGGGTCCTAATCGACTCTAGATTCCAACTATTTATTTCTTCTGGAATGAAGTTTTATGTGAAAATAGATTCCGCAAATTTCAAATGAGCCGACACTAAGTTTACGTTTCTATGAAGCGATAAAACCTCCATTATCTCACCGAATATTGTTCTCTATTTCAACAAATTGTGATACCATCAAAGACCCTACCGACTCTACATTACAAATACCTGAGCATTAGAGCATTTCTCAGATTTATTACCGTTCATTGTAACTGGAGAGGGGAAAAAAAATCAAAAGCGCATTTCTGCGATTTATCGTCTTAAAAATAAAAGGACGAAAGTGTAAGAAAAAAATCTAATAATCTGGAAAAAGTTATAAAGAGGAAAAATTGAAGGTATGTATACGTTGATGGGTCGTTGATGGGTCGTCGCGGAAATCGTCAGGCTTCGTCGGAATCGTTTGGTGTAGCCCCCGGAGGATGCGTCGCGGAGGATTTACGAGCAAACCCAGAGGCCTTTAATCTTGGCGAAACCGCATACACCCAACTCTCAACTCAACTCCCTGATGCCCTCAAAATGGCTTTTAACGCACTTGTCTTACCTCCGCTTGTCCATCCATAACAGGTGGCTCAGGATTCATTGATTTAGACATTTATTTGAATCTGGAAGATTCACAGCGTAATTTTTCAACTAGCAGAGTCCAGTGTGAGCTTAATGAATAGATCGGAAAATTTTCGTTTCCAAACCCTGGTTATAAACCCATTTTCCCCCGATAGTTCTTAAGATATTAACGATTTGTTTTGCAATTTTTTCTGATTTCTGAATATCTCAACAACTAATGGGGCAAAACGGGTTCAGTACCGGAAACTTTCCGCTTTTCCGCCAACCAATGATGGGGTTACACTTGAACCCAAACTCTCAACTTTTACGTTATCGCATAAGAATTAATTGAGAGGTGGAACTCACTTTGTGGTTCTGTTTCGAGTTTCTTTTGTTTCTCTTTATACGTTTAGTACTGCAGCGAATTGAATACAAAGGATATAATGTAGTCTCACCACATTTTCTTGGTATCTTGGTTTTTTGATTATTTATTAAAACTTCAGGCAAAAGCCCATCGAAGCTTACCGGAAAAAGTATACAAATATATATATACAACTTTTCTTCACACGAAAATCAATTAATTGAATATATAAATATAGAAAATGTCCAGAGAGAGAGGAAATTATATCCAAGAACTCATAGCTGAACTCACATAAAAATCTCGAAAATCTCGTGGATTATTTGAATCTTGATAATCCACGGCGTAATTTTTTAACTTGAAAGGCTCAGTGTAGGCTGGTTGGATTTATCGGAAATTGTGCGTTTCGAGAACCCTAGTCATAAACTCATTTTGCTCTGATATTTTTCAAAATATTGAAGAAAAATTTTTTTGCTGATTTCGGAATGTTTCGACAACTTACACAACTTGACAAAATAGAATCGCCATGTTAATTGTAAGTAAGAGCCCAAGGGCTGAGACTACGACTTAATTTTTCTAAGCTTGTCTAAAATTGTACTTATACATTATTCAACTGTATTTTATGTTAAATAAACGCCTTTAATCATTGAAAAAATCTCGACAACTAGTGGGGCAAAATGAGCTCATAACCAGGGTTCAGAAGCGGAAATGTTCCGCTCCATTCGATGATGTCACTCTCGACCCCAAACTCTCAACCTTTACATTATCGCATCATCATAAGAATTAATTGAGAAATGGAATTCACTTTGTGGTTTTGTTTCGTGTTCCTTTCGGTTTCTTTTCGAGACGTTTAGTGCTGCAACGAATTGAATACGAAAGATATAATGTAAGATGGTGTGTAGCAGCTGAAAAATCGCCGCTGGGTATACGTTCATGTCAAAGAACTTAATTCCTGTTGCTCCCCCCCCCCCTTCCTCCACGATCCCCCCTAATTTCTCCGGTGTTTTAGTTTAGTATAGGCTGAGGGTTGCCTTCAAGACCTCCGAACGGTCTGTAATCACGGGTGGAATTTAATGGTAGGTTGCTGACTCGGGCGTGTGAACTGTGGGCGGTTACCAACTTCGCTTCCTATCTTGGTATCTGACGTCTAGCACGTGCTGGATACTGAAATTCCCCCACTCTCTTTCGGTATTTTTTATTATCATTCAATTTTTTGTCGTTTGAAAAAATATCTGAAAAGAGTTTTTAGGTGATAGCCAGGGAAATTGGAGACCGAAAGCACAGTATGACATGTTTTTTAAGTATATTAATAATCGAGATACAGTTTTAGAAAAAAAATTGAAATTTCATGGACAGCTAACTAGTAATTTTCAGGAAAATGACATCATTAAATCCGATTTAGGGGGAAAAAATCATGAAAATTCTACAATATCTATACCTAAAATTTTCTTATTTCTATTAATATTAATTTTCATTGAATAATTGAAGTGAAATTTGCAGTTTTTATTAATTTTATAATGCGATAAAAATTTTCAAGAAATGTACCGGAAAATTCAGTAAGAATTGGTTATTAGTGTAATTCATATATATATCGTATCGTATATTGTGCATCAATGGCAAAAAGGCAAGACTTTCCGCCCGAGGTGCACATACGATTTTTTAACACGCTTGCAAAGGAAAGTTCGTATTTTGCTTTTTGATGAGCGGGAGGAAAGGGAGCCGAGTACTTTCTGCCCCAGGGTGGAAAGTTGCGCCCAAGAGCTGAAAGTTTTGACCTTGTGCTCACTTTCCTCCCGCTCATCAGGGAGAAAAGTATGAACATTCCGTGCAGGGGTGTGGAAATAGTATATTTCGCACCAAGGGTGGAAAGTTACGTTTTCCTCGCCGGAGGTGCACATGCTATTTTTTAACACGCCTACAAAGAAAAGTTGATATTTTGCATTCTGATGAGCGGGAGGCAAGTGAATACTTTCCACCCTAGAGCGGAAAGTACTCACTTTCTTCCTACTTATCAGTGAGCAAATTACGACGTTTCCGTGCAGGTGTGTGAAAAAAATCAGTAATTTGTTGAGTAGAATGTGAATTTTCAAATGTAATTTTTTTGGAATTTCTCTGCGGTTGCAGGTGGAAGTAGTGGAGATGATACAGACACTGAGAGCGAGCCTGGTTACGTACTCAAACGAAAACAAAGAAGGAGTAGAACAACGTTTACTGGTGAGCAACTGGAACAGCTGGAGGCTGCTTTCCATAGGACGCAGTATCCTGATGTTTACACCAGAGAGGAACTTGCGCAAAAGTAAGTTAGATGTTGCCAATATAGTTTGTATTTCATAGTGGACACAATTTTTCTCATCAATCAAACTTTGTCAACCCTACCTCTCCCCCCCTCGCCATCAGGGCGTCTAATTGATTCGTAAATAAAGGAAAACGACGATTTGCTGAAGAGAGATTTGTCATTTTTGTTGTTAAAGGACTAAATTGACTGAGAATCGAGTGCAGGTGTGGTTTAGTAACAGACGAGCCCGCCTGCGCAAGCAATTGAACAGCCAACACAATACCTTCAATACAATGAGTTTACAGTCATTTCCAACTCAACACTATCCAGCAGCGACTGAAGGTTATCAGGGATATGGGCAGGCGACGGTAGCAGCAACCACTGCGGGATACACTCAGCATTATAATTATGGGGATAACTACTACAGTGCGCAGCAACAGTGGCCTCGAGCTACGCCTGAAAACTACGGGTAAGTGATTTTTCATGAAAAATATGTTATAACATCATAAAACTAATTTCTTGAGCCAAATTTGTTATCAGTTATTGATAAAAAATTAAAACTTTATGACTTGAACATGAACAGTTCACGATAAAGTGAGAGTCTCATGGCTCAAGAAATGGTTTCTTTTGTGTCAAGAGATGAGGAAATGATTGCAAATGTTACATAAATTTACTTCATAAAAAGTAAAATACTTTAGTATTGAATGAATAGAGAATTTATGCAAAGGAAAACCTCTAGACATTTCCGAAATATGTTCAAAGGGAAGAAATAACTTTAGCTCGTAGCTTCTTTTATGACTTCTATGGCTCAAGAAATAATTTTTTTAATATTAGGTCGCTTTTTTCTGAAAACAGGAGATTTCTTGTTGCCAAAATAGATCTAATGGCTCCATAACAATTATGTTCTCTCTGCAAGCAAAGAATGTCATTTTCCGAACCGCTCTCCACTTTTCCTCGTCCGGGAATTGATATTCGCCCTTCATGGTGTAACTCAACTCACCAATACACACGAGTAAAAACCCCATAACGATAGGCCGGAAATATACTATTCCAGCACTACTTCGTTATTCGATACTCTCATATGTATTTTGCCCTGGAAAAATTTTTATTTTGTGCGAAACTATCCCTAGTAGAAGTCGTAGTAAGCTCATTTCTACCTCGATGTGCGAGGGCGAGAACTCGGGACAATCTCGTAAGTCGAGTCTGAAACGAGCATGTTCTTGATTCGGACGCATCTTTTATCGAATCAGAGTGACGAACACGTGCACTAACTTCGGAATGAATCAACAGTTCGAATCTGTTACGAGTGGGTAAGTTCGTGCCTTACATGCGAAAGGTTCCA